AATAACATGTTGTGTATGACAGGGAATCTTTTTGTCTCACACACCTTTTACTTTGTTTGATTGCTACTAGCTGATTTTTGGTCCCAATCCTGTAATGAAAATACCAATGCGCCATAGGTGATCTTCTAGTGTGCAAAGTTTCTCTTTTCATTCCTGATCCTACACACACACACATGTATGTTTGTATTTTGTTGACATACACTTAACCCTGTACCTTAAATTTGCTACTGCAACTCCCTTGTGGTATTTATTGATCCTTTTTTTTAGGTTATTTTGGAGTTTTAGAGGCCTCTTTATTGACCATGAAATTATTGTTCGAATTCTCTGAATCTATCGTTTATATCAAATTTAGGTGCTAATTTCTATTGCATGACCTTTTCCCATATTTCGTTACCATTCAGTTCTTTGTAATAGTTAATTGACGTCATAGTCTGTTTATACAGATCCGCAGCCATGCCCAGAAATACTTTTTAAAGGTGCAAAAGAATGGGACAATAGCACATGTGCCTCCCCCACGGCCTAAGCGCAAAGCTGCTCATCCTTACCCTCAGAAGGCTCCCAAAAATGGTCTGACCACGAGATGATAGATTTTTCTTTTGTAGAAGTTTTGAGAACATTTATGAAATTCTGATTTGTATTTCCTCCAAAATGTTTTCAGTTTTAGTTCCTGTACAAGCTTCCATTGCTTATCCTTCTTCAGTGAATTCTCTTGCACCTGGATATCCTACATGGGATGATGCTTCTGTGATCGCAAGTGCTCAATCAAGTGGAGTGCTGCCTTCCCAAGATGAGTACAGTCTTCATGGAGCCGAAGGCATGCACAACATCTTATACTGTTAATCTTCCATATTAATCTATCTGAAAAAATTCACTAGAGGGAAATTTCTGCGATTATTGTGACATATTACATTACTGATTCAGCTGATATTGGATCAAAGGGAGCTACAAGGATTACAAACAGCTATATCACTGGTGTTGGGAGTTCTAGTAAAACGCTTCCAGCTTCTGAATTACCAAAACAGGAAAAGCAAGGTTCACTTCTTCATGGTAATAACTTTATACAATTCCCAGATTTGCTTACTGAGTTCTGCTGCAGCATTTTAAAGTTTTAATATTTGCTAACTCGGGAAAAGTGCTGTCTGCGAGATCTAGCTTTTGCCTTTGTTATAGCATCATGATGCAATTGCTGTTGTCTGGGAGAAATTTTATTTTTGTCCAAACATTAGACTGATGCAGAAAAGTTCTAATTGATATTGCAGCTTGTCCTTTTTAGCTGATGTTTACATGGTTTTCTGTAGAGAACCTTTATGATTGTTTTGTATTAATTGAAAAGCAACAAGGCACATTCCTTGTGATCATGCATCTTTGTATCTATGCATGTATGTCTGAGCAGACAGACAACAATTTCTTGCTTGCTTGATGGGGAAAACTAGTTGGAATCTTCCCCCTCCATGTACGTCCTTAATCACTCTATCAAAAACTGAAGCCATTCTGGAACAGTTTTAGATGAATTTTACTTGGGCAAATGATTAGTGGAACTGTAGTCTGCTTTTTATGTTGCTTTCTTTATTCTGTTTTGAGATTGCATGATTGTTTTAGTACTGATGCCTACCTGGGTACTTTAGGCTATAGCACAATAGATGATCTATGACATAGGAAAACTGTCATCTCCAAGTCTCTCTGTGTAGAACTCGTTCTGTCTTTGGTTTGTTTTGGAACAAGAGTGAGATTACCAATTAATAATTTTGTTTACAGGTATACCGGACTTTGCTGAAGTTTATAGCTTCATTGGCAGTGTCTTTGATCCTACTGCTGAGGGTCATGTGCAGAAGCTCAAGGAGATGGATCCAATAAATTTTGAGACTGTAAGTTTAATAAAAACCTTGTGTATTTCCTGACTCTCTTGGCCTGCCAATTTTTTTTCTTTCTTTAAAAAAAAAACTTCTCTCTTTTCTTCTGTTGTCTTGTTGCTGGTATGATGTGGATTTTGGTAACGGTGAGTTGGGTGAATTGTCCCTTTCTCTGGATATGCAGGTTTTGCTGTTGATGAGAAATCTTACCATCAATTTGTCCAGCCCTGATTTTGAACCAGTTGTAAGTATTATATTTTGTGAAATATCACAGCATACTGGTGTTTCATTCATCTTATGTTTTGCGAATGCTGCATTTCTTTGGTAGTTTTAAGGTCGAAAATGGATACCAAGCAAGTCCATCTGCACTACTGTGTCTAGAATTCCATTAACATCCGAACACAGTTTATATTATTATTCCGCTCAAGAATGCATGGTACACTGATTTTGGCGTGTCTAGTGTTCATTGTGTGTGGGGACATTTTGAAATCCAATGGAAAGTTGTTATGCTGCAATGCATATTAATTAGAGTACAATGAAGAGAATGAAAAAACTTGCTGTTTTCCATTGGCAAGGAAAATTTGGCCTTGATTCTGTCCTATTAAATTAACAACTTTTTCACGAGAGGCATGATGTGAGAGATACAGAGGCCATCAGTCATTGGCTCACCAAGTTCTTTTAGTTCATGGCTTATGCTGTCTTCGGCAATTGTTTACTTGGTTATGTAGTCAAGACGGAGGTGTCTAGCCATATCAACCTTTTTTAGTCAAGACTGCTTTCTATGTTTTTAAGTAATATCAGCCATGAATGCTGCCACTTTGGTACACTTGGAGTTATGATCCACAGGTTAAGGACCAGTCCTTGTATGCATGGTTGAACGAAGTCCTAGGACGATGGATTTAGGTGACTGAGGGTTCTTTGCATTTCAGAAACAAGACATGAACACAATATGGAGATATATTTGCTAGGAAACTCTCATGATTTGATTGATAACAATATGCTTTATAGATCCATAATTTGTAGGTGGTACCTTTTATAGCAGAATAAAACTGGAATGCTGGTCCTTAGACTTTGTGTCCTTGGACACAGCTTTTGCAGTCATGTGTTTTCCAGTTTTTGGTTTTGTTGGTCACCGTAGATAGTTTTATGATTTGTGCAGAGAACTGTTCTTTCATCATCTGATGTCAATACAAAATGCATGGGGGTTGCTGCCGGCAATTTGGTCAAGAACCCAGCCTATCTACCATGTTGAATATCATGGTGGTATTTATATTGGTAATATTGCAAGTCCTTTTCTTTAATCAGTTATCCTATGTCATTTCAGTTCCCCTTGGTCACAGCAGCTAAATTTTTTGTCACTTTTTGTACAGCAATATAGGGGAAAACGCTGCACCTGTTCTGAAATGCTACACTCTGAGAATTGAGGTTTTTTGAAGGTTAGAGTGAATAATTCTCCAGAGGTAGAACTATTTGAGGTGATTACCAGATGGAAACTATGTACATATATCTGTGATCTCCAGACCAGATATGGTCTTGTGATTCAAAGGAAGAATTGACAATTTCTCTATAGTGTACGGTTAGAACTTGTATAGCCTTTAGTGCATTGCAGTCTCAATTTTGTGCAGCAAAAGTATCCTATACTGGGGTAGCTTCTTTAGGGTGCGAGTTATTGTAGTCTTTGAGATATAGAAATGTGAAGGTAGAAGAAGTGATTCTTGATTGCTTCAGGAGTAATGCGAATATTTAATTTCAATTTGGTCTGCGCTCGATCATGGGCACTAGCCGCTGATGGTAAAATTTTGCTTCATGTAACGTTTGAAGTGCAGGAAATATGTCAGCTGTCCTCTGATTACAGTCGGGGCCAAGTTTAGCTTATTGGGAAGTGCTCTTCATGGCGTATGATTCTTCTCTGTGAAAGTGGCTTCGGTGGAGGATTTGGAAAATTTTTCCTACCCGTAATCTGTATCCGCAGTTCTTCTGGTTTTTGGCAGTTTGGATGGTAGCAGTGATGTGGGGAGCGCGAATGGAGATAACAAGAGAACAGTTGAAGGATGTTATTCTGTCGTTCCTTCAGCTGCAAAGTTAATTAAACCTTCCTGTGAACAGAAGTAAAACTTTCTGGTACCGGGAGCAGGAAGAGCAAGCATCTCATGTAACTCTCTCTGGCTTTCATACAGATGCAGCCCTACATGCACAGGTTTTTTTGTAAACTTGACAGTAATAAATTGGTCGTGTAAAGTGTTAGTAAATTCAAGAAGTCACCCTCCAAAATATTCGTATTTAGTTTGTCTGCCAAAGTTGGCCTTCGTTGATATAATATAAATCTTTCTTCCATTCCAAGGGTGTTAAATCTAATTTAAACCGACACAAAATTTAGGCCGTAGAAAATGAAAAATTGCGAAACAAATATCTCTCTGTGGTGAAACAGATAAATAAAGACAGCTCATGTCATGTCAATCAATTTATTCGAAGGCCAACTTTATTTTTTTTTTTCTTTTTTGATAATGCCAACTTTGATTTCCTCGATCGCGTTAAACTGATTACCAGATACTAATTAGCACTTAATTATTTTTCTTTTTTCCATTTTTTTAAATTTTTTTAAAAAAATCCTCCTTTTAATGGGGAAAACGTAAAATACCGTGCGACTCAATGCGCTTCCCTTTAGTTGTCATCCCCCATTTGTCATCCAACGGCCCCCTTCGGAACCTCTATCAGCTCTCTGCAAGGCGCAACGTGCATCAAAATGCCGTTCTTCCCCGACCTTCGCCTCCCCTGTTTCTTTTTCCGTTCTGAAATCTTAACGCCCTTAGCTGCGCCGACGTCGCTGCCCCCCGGGGCCCCCCCCCCCCTTTGAGCAAACTTCAGGTACGGATATTAAATTTCGGCTTGAGTTCTTGTTTTGTGTACTTTCAATCGTCTTCTTTTCACTTTTGAGTGAGGTTTTTAGTAAAAATCTTTTCCTGCTTTATGAGTAGAATTAGAAGGGGTTAAAATCCTTGGGGATGATCAAGTAAAATGGGAACTGTAGCTTTATTTATTAGGATGTTTGATATGACTGTTGATTACTTAACCTATCTGATTTTCCATGTTTGTCATTTATCAAACTGGGATGGATGGTGGTTTTGATAGCATAATCTAGCAGCTGCTTAAATTAGCATTTGCGGAACTCTAAAGAACACTCTCTTTTTTCTCACAAACCTGCAAACTCAGCTATCCGAAGCTGTTGCGGAACTCCATGAAATTCTTGATCTTCAAGATGCATAACAGAAACTCTCACGTGAAATCAGGTCAAAAGATGCTACAATTCTTGCGCTTGCAAACAGGCTCAAGGAAGCTGGAAAGGTTCTTGACAACCTAACCGCAAAAGAAAAAAAAAAAAGAGAAAAAAAGGTTCTTGACAAACTTGTAGATGATTACTCGGATCATCACCTTCCAAAACGGTCCAAGTCAGGAGATGTTACAGAGGATTCTTCAACAATCGTGGCATCTCAGCTAAAACTTTCAGATATATTGTAAAATGCCCATAGAATAAGCTACACTACTTTCGCACCACCAGAATTTGGTACTCGACAGGCTCCCCTCCGTGGGGCACTCCCACTTGCTCCGCAGGAGGAGCAAATGCGGGCATCTCAATTGTACAGTTTTACTGATCTTAATATTGGTTTATCCCAGACAGATGAGGATGAGGAGAAAACTATAGAGCCATTAATTGAAACCCTAGCTGTGCAATCAGCGGAGCCAAATCCACTTGCCAATCTTGCTCGGCCTAATATTGTTGTACCATCAGGATGGGAACCTGGAATGCCTGTGGAGTTGCCTAGTGCTACCATTGGAAACCTGGTGATCCAGTGCCGCTGTTACCAAGTGTGTTTTCTCTTGCAATTTTATTTTCTCAACCAACGAACATGGTTATTAATGAGCACTACGAGCATTGGCTTACGTCTGGAGACTGGGATTGGGACAGTTCTGAAGAATTATCTCTCAAGTTCTCAAGTGCAAATTCTAAGAGCACTATGAGTGCGGGGGGTATGGATAATCCTGATACCGTTACATGGTTCGAGAATCGAGTGGCGACTTCACTATCAAATCAGCTTACCAGTTGGATGGAGATGCTGTTGATTCAATGGAGAAGGATATTGGTTGGGAAAGAATTTGGAAGTTAAAGGCTTCATCTCGTTGACAATTTTTACTTGGCTACGACGGCATGGTAGATTATTAACAAAGGTTGAAAAATTCAAACATCATTTGCATCCGTTTGGAACATGTCCACCATGTGAAGTTAGTCAGGAAACAACATTACATATATATGTTAAGGGATTGCCAATGGATTAGCAATATTTTGGGGGCAACTTGTTCATCCCCGGCACCGGAGAGCCTTTAAATCGAAATCGAAGGACCAGTAGTGTATTGACTTGAATGTGCATAGGGGAGATATTGGGAGGCAAGATACAATTGTTTGGCCTCTAGCCTTGCAGCAAGTTGTGTATTTCGCCAGGACAGCGAGGAATGAGTTTGTGCACTAAGGCATGGATGGTAAACTGCGGAGCACAGCAACATATTTTATTGAGCAAAAGAGATGAAGTTTATCTGTTGGGAAAAGCCTCCAAGGGGGTGGGGATAACGTCAATGTATGGGGCGGCAATAAATAATCCTGGGCCGGCAGGAGGAGTGGTCAGAGATGAAATGGGTTGCTGGTTGACAGGGTTTAGGGCCAGCATTGAGGAGGCGAGCAATACTGCTGCTGTGTTGTGAGGTATGTACTGCGGGCTTGGAATTTGGGTTATAAAAAGGTGGTTTTGGAATCAGATTCTCAAATTGCTACGTAAGGATGCTCCAGCTGAGAGTCAACATTATGATACTGTCATGGAGGTCAGGGTCTTTACTGGAAAGAGACTGGGATTTACTGATTTAGGCCTGTCAACGGGTCGGGTCTAGACCCAGATCTGGACCGGATCCGTGAAATTATTACCGGTATGGATAGGGATTTAATTCCGTTTTCTGGATCCGGATCATCCGGATCCGTTTTGTCAAACAAAAAAACGGGTCGGATACGGAATATAGTATTCCGACCCGTATTAGACCCGGATCCGGATATAAATGAATTATTATTTTAAAAAATATATATTTATCAATATAATTTGATTAGGATGATGTATTTGAATAAAGTCAATTTGATTTCTTTTCTTATTTGGTTTTTTCTTTGCATTAGTTAGAAATTAGTTTACAAATATATTTTTTTCTCATTTTTATTAGAAATTATAAATTTTGCTAAATTTGTTCGGGTAGCCGGATCCGGATCTGGAACATAGAATAAAAGACCCATCGGATAAACGGGTCGGATCCGGGTCCGGTATAGTAATTCGGGTCCGGGTCAGGAATAATGAATTCCAGCCCAGACCCGGCCCGTTGACAGCTGGGATTGCAGAATTGCTCATGTTTGGCAAGAAGGTAATTCATGTGCAAAGGATGGGTTGCAACTATCTGCTGGTTTAGTTGTCTTAAGGGTGCCCGTCTTAAGGGCACTTAGGCGGCTTTTAAGCCGACTAGTTGCTCTTTCAAGGGTGCCCTCCATTGTATCGACATAAAAATATGGTTATTAATTACCAGAAATCGTTTTGACAGCCACAGAGAGTTGGGAAAAGTTGCAACTAATCCTAATGTAGCCCAGTTCATAGGCGCCATAAATACTTCTCAAATCCTCATTTGAGATGGCAAGGAAGACGATCACCGGTGGAAATTCTGTCTATGCATGACTCGGCTCTAAGAAAAGAAACAGCAAGTCTAACATCCCACTAGTAAGAGTATCATCACTTTTACAGACGTTCTCTAGTCAAAAGAATGATAACCGAGATTTCCTTTCTTTCACAATATAGTTACATAAAAGTGTGAAATGAAAGATACTTGGCTCATAATGACCATCATAGTCGAGCACATGCATCAATATACCATTGCCAACAACAAAAAAGGCTAGGCTTCTGATTCTCCACAAACGAAGGCAGAAGGACGTGATTGGCAACCAGCCATCAGCTTGAAGCTGAGAATATATCTTCCATCTGTTCAAGTTCATTTTGCTATCCTTGATGGCCATTCGCCTGAATATGTACACTGCTTCTATCAACGCCCTCATTACCAGACTTACTTTCAACACTTACAGCAGCATCACTCTGTTTACCTTGATGGGTTTTTACCTTCTTTAAGAAGAAATGACTGATATCACACCATACACCCAAAGTCTGATGCTTCTGCAATCTCCACATTCATGCGTCCTGCAATGCTCATGAGATATTTTCATCTCCAATAAATTTTCGTCTTGCCTTACGGTAATTGTAGCCATCTAATACAAGTGGAATGCGTTTGATATATTGCTTGTTTAACACTATTTACTCAATGACCATTGGAAGTTTTTACCTCACCAACAGAATACATGACATGAAAACCTATTCAATACCCTTTTTAACACTGTGAAGGGAATGCAGATTTGCAAACTCTCTCACGTATCCATGTAAAAGCAGCAAAAAAAGAAAATAGTTTGACCAATAACTAAAGAGAACAAGTGAGAGAGCCAAGATTCTGTACCTTGTTCCTATCACGCCAGCCAAGGCCAAAAGGGAGCAAACCAGTCCTCCTTGGCATATCCCGAGGAGAATCTGGACGAACAGACCTACAAAATATTTCAGCACAATTAAAACTCAAAACTTTGTCGCAAAGCCAAGAACAGCATGAAGATACGGATGGCACAGTGAGTTGTCCTGTCTATAAAACCAAACAGAGAGGATGGTAAGAGAGGAAACACAAATGACATGTCATATTCTTCGCCAAGAAAGGACATCTCAGAGAAGTAAAATCACAAACGCATAAAGCATCACCCAATTAACACTAGAAACATATAGCACATTTATAATTTCTGTCAGATTTAGAATTAATCCATTCTGATCAACATGCAGAATCATTTAGACATAATTTTGCATGCACCCTCCACCCCTCCAAACCCCAGCCAAAGACATTTTCAAGCCCTCATTTTTCTTAAATCCCCCATTCCCCGGTCCCATTTCTTTGCCCATCCAAAATGTATACACCACGTGTTAGCATATCTGGAGTTACAAAGACGAGAATCACATGATAAATAAACAGGAAACTGTAAGCAACACAAACCCGGGAGAAGCTAGAGCTTTAACTTGGCCAGATTCATATTGCAAAGTAGCTTCCAGCATCGATTCTGCCATAACTACTCTCTTTTCCATCTCAGCAATTGAAGCCAGAGCTTTGTTGTGTTTTTCCTGCATTAACAAAAGAAAATATATCACTACATATATAAAAACAAAAAATGGTGAGGAAGGGGAGAATCAACAAAGAATCTCAAAATTGGAAGTCCAGAAACCCCCCCCCTCCCACCCCCGCCCCGCCCCCAACAACCAGAAGGGAAATGCATCCAGTTAAGCAGATACACTGCAAAACGAAACCTGAAGAACTTCCACTGCATATCTCTGAGCAGCTGCATCTTGCTCAGCCAAAATTCGAGCATCTTCTGTTACTTTCTGTTCCTGCTCAACTCGCATCAGGACCTGCAGAATGTTGGATATGATTATGCAAAATTGAGTTATCATGACACAAAAACGAATCGTTGTTGAGATAAAATTCATATGAAACTGCTGCAAAACCTGAATCATAGCATTCTCCTGCTCTGTCTTATCAGAAAGTGCTTGCTGTAAGTCAGCTACCTCACGCTCTAACTGCTCAACCTGCAAAGTAAGAACACTACAAGGTCTAGAAAAGTGAAAAAAAGAAATTTACTTCCACAAAATATAAGCATCCAAGAGAAATTTGAAAAAGAAAAAAAAAAAGAAAGAATCCAGAACTGGATATCCTTATTGACAGAATATAAATGGTCATTTCCTAGATCTCTTCTGATTATTTTTTCTGGCCCAAGGGGCAAGAGATGTGCAGAATAGCTGATTTCATTGCTACTATTGAATATCAGATGTTGTGTACCATACTAGCAGATATCTTTAGTATATAGTTCACATATTCTACATACCTATAAGGATATCTAAATGCTGTAGCAACATTTCCAGTTGTTTCCATGCTGAATGAGGATGCAAATTTTGGGTCAAAGAGCAAACTGACATAACATTGCATGACAACAGACACAAAGAAGAAATGTAAGCAGAGAAAGAGGTTAAGACACTGTTGTATGAAACAACCTTAGACTGACAAGCAATACTTTTCCCAAACGTACAATGTGGTTACCTCTATGTTGTATTACAGAAGGTATGAGTCAAGAACTAAAACAAAATAGCAATAGGCAGGCTCCAAAGTTACTAAAGGAAATTACTGATCCTTTCTTTTCCTTGTTCTAAAAACTGGAGACATCAGGTAGTGGGCCAAGACGATGAAAGTTTTGATTCAACGACAACCCCACGAGCCAAGGATTAATGCTTGAAAGAGAACTTGTCTGACTTTAGAGTGAAAAACTGGTTTGAATTACTTTTTAGCTATATTCGTATTCAAGGCAATGATAATAGGCTGACTGGTGATGGCGATTCAAGGAAGCCTACCTTTCCTTTGATTGTGCGTTTACACTTTGTTTAAGCAGCTTTCTTCTTTCATTCCAATAGCTCCTCAGAAGGCTGCTAGCTACTTAACCCAGGGGAATCGGATTATCTTTATACTTATATTAAATTCCCTTAACCCTTACGCCCTCTGATTATCAGTCTTTGCTCCCTCTCCCTTATGGTGGAGCTTCAAACTTCTGCACCCCTTTACTACAATCCATCCTTTCCACCATCATGAAGAGCAAGCAAATGCCCTCTCCCTCTCTCCCTAACTCTAACTCCTTCTTGAACGAAGGGTATCATAACTTATGCACGCAACAATCTTAGAAAGTTGCATCATATGCTACGTGACACATCGTCTTCCAAAAACACATGAACCGCAGTAGGAATGCACTAGTTTAAATTATTCTTACCCTTGCACTCAGTTGACGTCTATTATCTTGCTTGACCATCTCCATAAGGGCTGTCTCCAACTCTTCAGCTCTGGAAAAGAGAACTTATCCTTTAAGACTTCAGAAGAAGAAAAAATTTCAAAGCTGATGTATTAATCACATTTTCCATCAATGAGAAAGTAAACAAGAAAAAGGTTTTAAGTTCATGTGTACTTAATGTCACAGGTTAAGCGTAGCACATATAGAAATTGCCCCATTTTCTCATTTAAGTACTGACAAGAACTATGTAGGCATTAAAGAGGAAAACTGGAAGCATACCAATACACCACAGATATCATGCAAGATCAAGGCACAATGCATGGCTGTTGAAAACAGCTTTGCTTTTGGACTAACATTTGATAGTTCACCTATCCTTGAACAAGATCTATCAATGACTTTGAAACCTTGAAAAGCACAGGAAAGCAGAAAATGGCAAAAGGAGTTTTAAATGTAAAAAATCGAGAAGACACCTTCTAGTTACTAAGAGGAAAAATCTTGAATACTTCCTTTTGGGACTCGGAGCTCACCGTTGCTCCTTTCTTAGAGGACTTGTTTTGTAAATTATGCACACACATACGTTTAATTTCTTCACTGCAGTGATGTGCATAAACCCATCACACAGACAAGAAATTGAAAAAATATATATAAAAAAGAAATTGAAAATGCAGACTGACCTTAGAATTGCAGTTCTTTTTTCCTCTAATAATCTGCACAGCTCCACCTTCATCCATACAACCTGCCAAGAAGCTGTTGATAAGTAACACTTAAAAAAGGACAAGGAGAATTTTTCATAAATATTCTGATTACCTCAAATTTGGAAAATAAAATGCTTTGACAGTGGACAAAATAAAATTACTATTTCTCCAATTATGAAATATAAAAGGGATTGTAATGTACAGTAAGATGGTGGGAAAATTGTACTGGCCCACACCAACCTATAGTTCTCTATGCACAAAGAAAAGAAAACAACTACATAGCTGTAACCTATGCCACAA